GTTTGGACGTATGAGGATCTGACAGTTTATTGATTCAGTTATGAAAGTTTGGGCGATAATCTTAAGTGGCATTTATATATAGTTAACTTATTCGTACACCCATCAATTTTGAATATTTTTATCCATTTCGCATAATCTTTTGCCCGTACAAAAGATTTGGCACAAGAAAGGTGAGGCTTTCATCTCAAAGAACAAAGTAGCAACATTAAAATATGGAGGCGGCTTGATGATGTTTTGGGGTTGTTTTAGCTCAAAGGGGACTGGATAATTAATTGCAATATGAGGAATAATGAAATCTGCAGACTCCATCAAAATTCTGGATGAAAATCCACAACTATCAGCGCAAAATCTTCATCCAGGTTGACGATTTACTTTTCAGCAAGATACGTCTAAATCAGTGACTGCCTGGCTTCAGAAAACGAAGATTACAGTTCTGCTATCGCCTTCAATGAGTCCTGATTTGAATCCTATTAAAAATCTATGGCAAGAATTAAAAGTTCGAATAAATCGTCGGTCACCAAAAAACCTTTAGGACTTAGAACCTGTAACCATTGAATATGGAAAAAAATCAGAAAAAACTTGTTCAAATCTTATCAAAAACTTTAGAAAACTATTGCAGCATATTATAAAGTGAGGTCATGCAATTAATATTGTGAAAATTGTTCAATTTCGTATATATATATATATATATATATATATATATATATATATATATATATATATATATATATATATATATATATATAAATACATATATATATATATATATATATATATATATATATATACATGCATATATATATTTCAATATTTCCTTTATCTATTTAGCTAGCTATTTCATATTTCCTTTAACTATCTATCCAAATATTTTCATATCTAGCTATCTACTTAGCAGTGCTAATGGAGATATAAAACTTTATTTTTAGGATAGGCCAATATGTATACGTTGTGGCCTGTTTAGGGTCCAGAAAGAAAGACACGCAAGACGAAGGTAGGTTGAAAAAGTGTATTGAAATACAGAAAATATACAAAGCAAAGTAATAAGCAGATAGAAGTGTACGTCCGAACGGTAGGTTAATACTGTAACTGCTCACCCGACTCCTCCTTAGAAAATCTCGCAGTATTTATGGGAGGAGCAAGAGTTCATTCTACTGTAGGGAGGGTTTACCACAAAAGTATATAACTTCGAGTGCGATATCGTCATTTTATGACTCTGCATTAATTTCCAACATTTACAGCCGAAAGTTCAAATAATCTTTTCTTTTCCCAACCAAAACGTCCAAATTTTCCCTTTGTAATAAACTTGCTATAATTTGTCATAGGAAGGAAATGCTTGTTTGATGATTTTGGTGTTCCAATTTTTCGAGAGCAGGGAGTATTCATTGTGCAAATCAGTATTTTGTTTGTTTGTTTTTTTTACCGACCACAATTACTTAAATTCGAAAAGGCAATATTTTTGTCTTAAGAAAATTCACGCAATATATTAAGAACTTTTACCTGTGATATATTTTGAGAATCGGAAGAATTTACGCCGGGGAAATTGGAAATTTAAAAGATTTACGTGCTTCTTTGCACAAAGTCGGAAATTTGTCTGGAGACACTCCTTAGTAAATGACGAACATTAGCAAGAAACTGAAATGAGGAAATCCGCCTTGATGTTATCAAAGACTCAAAACTATGACTGAACTTTGAGCGAATATAACCAGATGAAAAATGGAGGCCTCGTTTTAAACTGGTTATTAGGTATCTTTATAATTTAGGCATCTTAAAATAAGAATATTTTGCCCCAAAGGAAACCCTTTTTAAAGTATATTAGGAAGGAAACTTCCATCAATACTGGAAAGAAAGATAAAAGCTACTGGACTTGGAAAATCTTTTTCTTGAAAAATTATTTTAAGAGAAAGATGTTATAAACTTCAACCGAAAACAGTATTAGCTGCTAGGGCAAATGTTTCCTGATAAGGAACTGGCTAATATTAACATTACAATTATTATTACCAATATTCGATGTTAGGTTTTATCCTTATTGATAACCACATTACATCACTTAGTCCTAGTTAAACAAGTACTTTTTCTGATTGTTTCTGCTGCGCCAAGTAAACAGACCTTCTGCGATATATAAGTAAACTCACTATTAAATCGAAGGCTTTCATCTAATGAACAAAGTTCTCTACTACAGTTCCTAATGATCTGATTACAAGAGGCACAGTGTCTACATTTTAGCATTTCCATATTCCCTTGATTACGTTTATATATATATATATATATATATATATATATATATATATATATATATATATATATATGAAGAAAAATATACGGAAAAAACAAACAAAAATCCTTATTTGCAATTATGCTGTTTTAAATGTTATATATATATATATATATATATATATATATATATATATATATATATATATCAATTTTCTATTTTTCTTTTCGACTACTCTGTTATAAAACGAATAAAATCAACTATCCTTTCCGGATTATTATTATTATTATTATTATTATTATTATTATTATTATTATTTATTTTCTTTGATTTCTGGCGTTAACACATTTCTTTCCGGGTCCCACCAGGAACTAAGGTTAGAAATGGCATCATGACACTTTCCACTGACAAAAAAAATTACATAGATAAAGCCCTTCATAAAGTGTGGGCTGTACTTGTCAGAACAACTTTTTGTACTGGTGTTTACACATTTCTTTCCGGGTCCTGCCCAGGGACCTAAGGTTAGAAATGGAATCATGACACTTTCCACTAACAAAAAAAAAAAAAAAAAAAAAACATAGATAAAGCCCTTCGTAAAGTGAGGGCTGTACTTGTCAGAACAATTTTTTGTATCTCCTTGAGGCATGGACTTCCAGGAACCCCTTCAATTACTCTACTGCAATCTTTTCCAACCAGTCCTAGGGCTCCAACTACAACAGGGATTGTTGATGTTCCCATATGTCACATTTTCGAGATTTCTATTTCAAGGTCCTTGTACTTTGACAGCTTTTTGAATATCTTCAAAGATACATTGCAGTCAGCAGGGACTGCCATATCAATAAGGAGGCATTTTTTTGTTTGTGGTCTTTAATAACAATGTCTGGGCGGTTGGCTTTGATTGTTCTGTCAGTGTGTATTGTGTAGTCCCATAGAATTGTAACAGATCCTATCTCCGTAACTGGGTCTGGGTGGTGGTTATTATTATTATTATTATTATTATTTCCTTTGATTTCTGTTGTATGCACATTTCCCTCCGGGTCCCAACAAGAGGCCTAAGGTCAGAAATGACATCATGATATTTTCCAATTAAGGTGTGAGCTGTACTTGTGAGAACAATTATTTGTATTGCTTTATGGTATAGACTATTAGGCATCCATTCAATGAGTTTTCTCAGAATATTTTCTAACATTTTTTTTTACATTTTCCCTTCAAGATCCTTGTCTTTTGATTATTATTATTTTATTTCCATTTCTTTCCGACTCCCAACCAGAGGCCTAAGGTCAGAAATGGAATTATGACATTTTCCACTGAGATTTTAAAAAAAGGGAAACTCTAAAATCACACACATTTCACATAGATAAAGTCCTTCATAAAATGTGAACTGTACTTGTGAGTACAATTTTTTTGTATTTCTTTAAGGCTTAGTATACCAGTGAATCCCTTCAACTAGTCTATCGGAAATTATTTCAGTCAATCCGTGTACTTTGATACTTTTTTTTAAGTTCTTCTGAGATACATTACAGTCTTCAGGGACTGCCATGTCAATAAGAAAACATATTCTGTTTTTGTAGTTTTGCTTACGATGCCTGAGTGATTAACTTTGATTGTTCCGTCTCTGTCTTTAATAAAGTCCCATAAAATTGTTACATTTCATGAAAGCTATAAAAATAGCCTTTAATCTTTCAGACCTGCAATTTGGTTTGCAGGTCTGAAAGATTGAAGGTTATTTTTATATCTTTCATGAAATAAAGATTATGACCTCTGCTATTTTAAGTGTTTGGTATTCATTAATAGAAATATAAAGTTTATCACTTTAGCTGATGGATGTTATATTCGACACCCATACTCCTGAGTTCTGTGGACGAGACTTTGTGCAATCGTTCGACCCACTCGTCAGCAAATGTTTATCAATTTTCTCGTTTTTGTTAATTTTATATTAGATTAAAAGAAAAAAAATAATTTATGCGCATTTTTACTTGTGTGTGTGTGCGTGTGTTTTATTTGTGCGCGGGTGTGTAGCTGTGAATGGGAGCGTGAACATGGCGCGTGAACGTGGCACGTGCGTGTGTGTGTGCGTGTGTGTACACCTGTACGTGTGCTTATGTGCATATGTGTAAGGATATCGTGGTTATTTCTAATTTGCATAATTTCTTGTCTCCTTAATCTTGCGCATTATTTCTTTTTCTTACGGATCAGATACAGATAGATAGAAAAACAGACAGACAGAGAAAGACAGGGACTGCTGGATAGCTAGCTAACTACCTAGATAAATAGATAAAGATAGGGAAATTGAGAGAGAGAGCGGGGGGAGAAAGGTTGGGAGAAATAGAGAGTGACAAAAAGTAAGAAGGGGAGAGTGAGTGAGTGAGTGAGATAGATAGATAGATAGATAGATAGATAGATAGATAGATAGATAGATAGATAGATAGATAGAGAATGGTGGGGAGAAATAGAGAAACGGAAAGAAAGAGGGGAAAAGAAAGATAGATAGATCTGAAACAGAGACATCAAATTTTCCCTATCCTATTGTGATTTCTTCTTATTTTGAGTCCGTATTATGAAACAAAATCCCAAAGTAAAAAAAAAAAAAAAAAAAAATCTTTAATGGACGGAAATCTAATCACAAAGCAAAATTTAGAACAATGAATCTTATGTTTTTATTTGTCAATTTCCAGATACATACTGCAGTTGTTTGTTTTGTTTTTTTTCAAATGTTTTTCTTGTTTATATTTTTTATTCATCCGAGATTCAAAGGCGTCGTTTTCTTTCCATTTCTTCAAAACATTCTTCATAAAGTTATTCCTGAAAAAATATAATAATAATAATAATAATAATAATAATAATAATAATAATGATGACTGAACATTGTGTTGATACCCAATAACCCATGGCACCCTATCAATACCTCACGATATTACCAGCTTTTGCTGATTTTCTAATTGTGACTGTATCAAGTGCAAGTAGATGCAATATCTGACATATTCTTGAAGCATATCTCCTTTATATCTATATTAAAACCTTGACAAGACAACTAAATAATAAATGTAAACAGGTGTTGAGAGCTTAAAGACACATCACGTTGCAACACCAATTCCCACGCGATCACCAAAGTTAAGCAACGTTGAACCTGGTCATTACCTAGATGGGTGATCGCTCAGAAATACAAAGTGCTATAAGTTTTGGTGTGCAGGTGGTGTAATGGTTATGGATAATATCTTGGAATTGTTAATCGGAAAGCCGAGTTTCAATTCTGGTTGGGTTTATTATATTCACTTAAGAGCAAATATCACTGGGAAGGGTATGAATCCACCCTTTCTCCACCAGCTATGAATTAATTAGAAAGACTTGTATCTCATTATTATCTCTAAAGATAAATGAATAAAAAATAAATAAATTTGCGTAGAAAATATTTCGATTTTGGCATTAGACAACCCACAGAGTGTGATATACCGCTAAACGAAAACAACAACAATGATTGAGATAGTGATGAAACTATAATATAGGAATTTTTGTCATTCAGTTACCAACAAATAGCACAGAGAGGTGGGGGAATAATTACATAATAAAATTTCAAAGTTCAGGTGTGAGAGACATCAGAAGTACAAAGTTGAAGGAATCAAAAACCCAATCTTAAACAGGAAACAAGGGATAAACTTCTGCCCCTGTTCAAACGATCGTGGGCGAGGAGGGGGGATGAATCGGACAATTGGTAATTTTGTCCTCCATTTTGTCATTCATTTACCCACAAATAGCATTTTTTTTTTATTAATGTTTCTCCAACACAAAGCCTAGGAAGTAGCAATAGAGGGTTATTGTCTCGTGTTGTGTTAGTGTAAGAAAGGGTAAGAAGTGAAGTTATTGCGGCTATGTAGGAAAGGTAACGGCTAAGTCTAGACTTGAAGAGGTCAAGATTTAATTAATGAATAAAATTCCAGAGTTCAGTCGGAGACATTAGAAATATAGTGTGGAAGTAGACTTTAGAAGGAACCAGAAACCAAATCCTAAACAGGAAAAAAAGAATAAACCGCCACACCTGTTCAAAAGACAGAGGAAGAAGCGGATGATTTGTAAAATGAGGTACAATCACTCAATCTTAACTCAACTGAAAAATTGATATGTGCCAAAGTTATTTATTAAAAATATTCAATTTTTGCTAAAAGATAAGATGGTTTAGCAAAAACTTCAAAACACAATGAGAGATAAAACTAGGAAAACAAATTAAAACTTTATATACCGTATATGCTCGCATATCATGCAACTTCTGAGGACCTAATTTAGAAGCTAATTTTAAGGGGGTCGCATCATACACGTGATTTAAAATTAGTGTATATACTGCTGGCCTTGGCTAAGCCGTTGACCAACCTATATATCCTTTTGCTGTAGTCAAATAGTAAAGCTGTATTTAAAATAATGCATGTAATATTCACATATTAGTTTTTATTATAAAATACAAAGATAGCGAATATGCATCTTTTGCCTTGTCTACGTTTATAAGATGTTTAGCTGTTTTCCAGTCGAATCCATTACATTCACTTACGTACTAATGCCCTTGGGAAAGGTATGAATCCTCTTCTTCTCCCCCTATGGGTAAATAACAGGACCGGGTTCTATTGCCTTTGATGGCAACTGGTCTGCCGCAGAAAGAAATGACAACCTACTGCGGGAAATAATCTGCCTCGTCATGTACATGATCGCCTAAACGTGTATCACGTATGGCAGATAATTGACTGAGAGTGTTATTAATGATATTTTTATCATTCGCTTTTACTAGAAGATGGGACAAAGAGCTAGAAGAAAAGAAATCAGTCTATTGTTATTTGGTCTCTCGAAAAAGGAACTCGTATGAAACACAAGATAGATGATAAAATCATTTTTTATAAGTGAAAGTTTGGGAGTAGCACGATACGTGAGAGCGCGCGTTACAATAGTATATACGGGGAAACAAAATTGCTGTAATAAAAATGTTTAACAAAGAATTTAAATGGCTTCGTACATGAATATAAAATATAAAAATACACTGCAAATGAGTAACAGGGAATTTAGATTAGAATTCAAAATGATATTAATTATTAAGCAATATAAACAAGATGTTTCTGTGCAACGAAAGTAAATGTCAGACATATAAATCGTGAGCAATAGTAAAACAATGAAACCGGATGTACATGAAATCAGTTTTTTTCCGGGCCTGGTTGCTTACAGGATTGCAAGAAAGGATAAAAACTTTGAGGTTCTTCTACGTGCCGTGTCCCTTCCGTTCGTTAGCGATTATGGCTCTCTACACTTTCCTCTCCTTTGTAGCTCTTGATAAATTTTCTTTCTCCTAACCTCTGTTCTGTCATTCATTTACTCAAGTTCGCTAGATAGCTTATGCGTTGTTTTCCTCAGTCCCTATTGCCCTGAATCTGTCCTGTGAGTATCAAATTTTCCAAGCCCTCTTTCCTTATTAAAATACCCTAGAAATTTCAACTGTCTCTTTCTAATGTTAAGTATAAGTGCCATTTTTGTTTCTATTCTCTCTAAAACTTTATTATTGGTCACATATTCGGGCCGTGGTATCCTCAGCATCTTTCTGTAGAACTACATAGGTTAATACACTTAAATGAAGAAGTGAAAGACGATTATAACATAAGCATCAAAGCATAGGATGATACTGAAAAGTTCTCGGCCCGGCGAAAATGGTGGTTTGAGACGAGAACTTTTCAGCACCTCTCATATAGTGATTATCCTGCGTATATATGGCACAAGTCCGAAAGTATGTGGTACGCTGCGAGTATCGAGCTCACGACTCAGTCATAATTGTTCTAGCGAGACAAGTTTGTTAACCATTACACCGCCTCGAGGTGCCCCAGCATTTTGTGAAAAATAACGTTTAAGGTGATTATATATATATATATATATATATATATATATATATATATATATATATATATATATATATATATATATATATATATATATATATTTATTGCCCATTTTAAACAGCAATCGCTCTTGATGCAAATTTTGTTGAAAACGACTGACAAGGCGCGGTGGGTGAGTTTTATATAATTTCTCATGTTCGTATAATTTTTTTTTTCTTTTCAGGACATATATAAAAATAATAAACACACGCACTCACAAACACACACACACACACACACACACACACATATATATATATATATATATATATATATATATATATAATCACTTTAAATGTTATTTTAGAGGATTCTCTCATTTGATTAGACGCCTCGTTTATTTATTGAATAATATATTTATTTATTTTCGTCTACCTGCCTGAATATTCATGAGATGCGTTTTTCGTACGCAGATATGAATAATTTCGACTAAAGGCACAATTTCGGCCTTGCATGATCGGCTGGTTTGTCTGTAGCTCAGTTGGTAAGGACGTGCCGTATCTAACAGCAGTTCCCTCTACCAGGTTCGAATCTTGCCGAAAGGCTCAATTTTTTCTTTAATAAGTTTTCTCGAACACTGTTGAATAAATAAACAGAAGAGCTAAAATGAATACATTTCGTTGTCGGCCCAGATCTTTTCTACGAGAACAAGCTGTATTGATGCGTAAACAGCAGAATAGTAAATATAGTAAGATAAAGGTAAACTCCGAAAAATATTGGTGGATTTAATCAGTTTTTGCTAAATTAAAAAGAAATTATTTACAGTCACGCTACGAGTGCTTCTGGCATTATGCAAGCAGGTAATGCCTGCCGCATAATCATGTCACCGGTTCCTCTACCAAGCTTTTCTGATAATGCTTTGACTAGACAGGTTGCAGGATTCAAAACAAAACTAAAATAAAGAGCGGGTGAAACGTTCTGTAAGTCCAGCGACCATCTAGCACAGGGGTAGCCAACCTTTTGATTCCATGCGCCAATATTTTGTACGATTAATTTAAATGCGCCACACAAACGTTCACTTCCTTTCAGTACGTGTTGTAATATGGACATATTTTAAAGTTATAATAAAATCTATTTATTTGAAAAATATATGCTTATGACCAGGGGCGAATCCTTTTAGCACTTTCGCAAAGGACGTGTAATAAATATAAAATCACTGAAATAAATGACTAGAAGTGGCTTAGTTTCTTTTCATCAAAAGGATGCAAGGCGCCATTTGTAAGCATCCAATGCGCCACTTATGGCGCATGCGCCACAGGTTGGCCATCCTTGATCTAGCACAATGCAGAAGACCGTTCTCTATAACTAATTGTCGAGAACTACACGTAAAAAAGCGAAAACATCGAAGAAATGAGGTAAAATCTTTATTTAAACACATCTTTGTCTATATTTATTGTTTCCCTTTCAGTATTTCTATTGAGATGAGGTATTATGTACATTATTTTACATTATTCCTCATCTTTGGACTATTGTCCCTTTTCATTTTGTCGCCATATCTATCATATCTATCATGTGGGATCATGTTGAGATCATTGACAAGGAACACCATTGGAAAATTCGTAAACTTAAGGAATCAGCACATATGCTAAACTACAAAAACTCCTGAGCCGACCAAGCATAGAGATAAATACGATATGGGAACCAGTAATAAGGAGTGCCAGAGAAAAGCAATGATAACAACATAGTTGCAATATCAGCTCTGGTAAAAACATGCAATAATAACAGCAAAATTGCAATATGAGCACTGGTAAAAATGGTTGCTGAAGACATTAGGTTTATAATACCCAGAAATTCATACCCAGATGTCCTCAAGGACACATGGTACAGTGGATAAAGGCATTGGTTAGATCCAGTGACAGGACCCAAAGAGTGTGAGTTCAATACCCGGTTTACTTTCAGAGGGAAATTAACAGGAGATAACTGACATCCATCAAACATGGCACGTGGAACTAGAACAGTCAACCCCAGTGAAAAAAAAGGGTTCGGTACGACATTCCAACCACCTGAAGAAGGCTGGAGCGTACAACGGCTGAAAGGTTGTGATAGATATGGCGAAAAAGATGAGGACAAAATCCGAATGATGTAAATAATGTACAGTTCTACATATTTAAATAAATTTTATTATTGAGTATGGGTTTTCTTTCAACTTATTTACAACGCCAAGAAATAAATTGCCTTATTATAATAGAAAAAGCAGAATGTGTCTACATAATAAGAGTGTCACGTATTTACGTTGTTTTATGAATGCCTATTTTCTAGTAATCAGCATTTCAGCAGGCAAAGCTGTTATAACTATTACTAACACATTGTTTGCATAACTCGTCCGTATGTTTTTGTGTACTTAATTTATTTTAAAATCGATAACCTTTTGTTATAAGGAATTGGGTAAAATATGTGAAATTTGAGTAATTAATTATACAAAACGTTTGAGTAATCAGCTGTGTATATCCCTGGTTAAAGGTTTGACGAAAAAACTGAATACTAAACTTTACGCGATCGTATCTATAACAGAGAAATAGGATCTAAAAGTTAGATTTACTAAACTCAGAAGTTTATTGGTTAATAAATATTTTTCACAATTTTCAAATATCTACTTTTAGGAGGGAAAATAACATTTTCTAGAGTTCGCTTCCAATTTTCGTAGTAAACCATTCGCCCTTGCATGGAGTATTGCTGCCATATATGGGCTGGAGCACCTTCTGCTTACCTCGGAGTTCTTGACAAGAACCAGAGAAGGATATGTAATCTAATTGGCCCTGATCTAGCGTCTTGCTTGCAGTCACTCTCTCACAGACGCGCTGTCGCCTCTCTCTGTCTTTTTTTTTTTACAAATACTTCCATGGTAATCTGCTCTGATGAGCTGCTCTCTCTGGTTCCCAGACTCCATGAATTCAAGCGCCCTACGAGGCTGGCATCCCGCTCTCACCCCTTACACCGTAGAAACCTTCAAATGTAGCCGTCTCTTCTACTCCAATAGCTTCATACCTCGCACCTCTCTCCAGTGTAACACCCTCCCCAATTACTGTTTCCCTGAAAGCTATAATCTCCAACTATTCAAATGTAATGTCAATCGACATCTCCAATTACCTTGATCTACCCACTATCCTTTCTCTCTTCCTTTCTCCTATCACTCTTATCTGCTCTCGCCCCAAACCCCCTGCATCCTAGTGGCTTCACGCCTTGCTTGGGGCACAATGCTTAAAAAAAAAAAAAAAAAAGACAACAAACATGGTTGTCTGACATTTCAGAGCCTTCAGCGCGTTTGAAATGACGTCGCTGATTGGTTAATATATGCGAATGTGAAAATTCAAATCGGAGTCTATGTTTTGCACAAAAATGAGTTTTAGTGAGAGTACTTAAATCTATGGAATTTTTCTACAATTTTTAACGGAGTTCCACAAATGTATGGCATTGCAGGGAAGAGGGCTCACTAGACTGAAGTCAACAAACCAGGTCGGGAAGGTTTCCTCGATTGAATGAATTGCCACATGTCCATGATCAAGACGAGCCTTCAAGTTTGATGACAGCGAGTGTCGTCTAACTTGGAGAAGGATGAGCTCCGCCAGGTCTCGTAGCCTAAGACATGCTATGTATGAATGAATACTTTTCCATTTTCATATGCGGAGTGACCTGTCCAAGTGCTCAGCTGCGCAATGACTCTACAAACACACAAGGTCTCATTAGTTGATGATGATGATGATGATAATGATGATGATGAATGTGTGGTTGGTTTTGTTAATATTTCGATATTCCTGTGGGATGTTATGATGAAACTTTTAAATATTCAATAAATCGCCATCTTACCAGTTAAACAAATAACTTTTTCCCGGGTTAAATCTTCTTTTTAAAATTGAATGAGACTTAAAGCCACCCCACGTTGAAACACCGATCCCGATACGATCACTGAAGTTAAGCAAGTTAAGTTAAGTCAGTATCCAGATGAGTAATCGCTTGGGAATACTTAAATGTGCGGGTGGTGTAATCGATAATAGCTCGCAATTGTTAATCGGTGAGCCGAGTTCCAATTCAGGTTAGGTTTGTTATATTCACTTACGCACAAATACCCTTGGGCAAGGTATGAATTCACCTCTTTTTCCCTACAACTATGGGTTAATTCGTAAGACTTGTAGCATTGAAATCATTATGATCTAAAAAGAAATTGTATATAAAATAATTAGATTTCGGCATTAAATAACCCATAGAGGTTAATATGCCGCTAAAGCAAACCAAAAATTGAATAAAATCATGACAAATAACTTACGTCCTATACATTCTGCGCCTGCATCTTCATTGTGTCCACAATTCGTGACTCCCCATGGTTTATGGGTGCACTCAAGCAACGACTTTTCATTTCCACGACATTTTACATCATCCAGCCACTTTTTACCAGTACCATCTTTAGTTTTCTTTCCAAGTAACGCCTTACCCTTCCTTTTAAAAGAAAAACCATAGCATCAGTATTAATTTATATTCGCTTCTTACTTAAAGCAGTTATAGTAATAATAATAATAAGAAGAAGAAGAAGAAGAAGAAGAAGAAGAAGAAGAAGATATAATATTGTTGTGGATTCCGAGATGAAATTTGGTCTCCAATGAATGACAAACGCAAGAATTAAATATAAGAAATAAAATGTATTTACACAATAATACAAAGAGTAATACTGCTAGTAAATCCAGGAAAGCGGTTAGTAGCAATAACATATAGATATATACAGTCTCGAAGTAGGACTTCCTTAGAGTCTACGTGCTTGTAACTGACTTCTACAAGCGGTTACCTCACACTATTACTCTACCTCCAACTCAACCACAATCTCAGTCTTCTTACTCTCTCTACTCTCTCTCTCTCTCTCTCTCTCTCTCTCTCTCTCTCTCACTGGCTGTCTAACTCTGGGTATTTAACGGCAGCAGTCCAAGTAACACTGGTAGAGTCCACTTATATGAAAAAGGGGAGGCCCCCATAACATATATAATAATAATAATAATAACATCGACATCGTGATAAAAGACCACAAAAACAAGACATACTTTCTTATTGACAATGGCAGTCGCTGCAGATTGTAATGTAATGTATCTTTGAAGATCTTCTAAAAAAAACTATCAAAATACAAGGGTCTTGAAGTGGAAATTTTAAAAAAATATGGCACATGAGGACATCAATGATTTCAATTGTAGTTGGAGCCCTCAGATTGACTGGAAAAGGTTCCGATAGAATCATTGAAAGAATTCCTACCTTAAAGAAATACGTACTCACAAGTACAGCACACACCGAAGAGCTTTATCGATGTAAAATGTGTGTGATCTTTGGTTTTTCCTTGTTTATCCCCCTTTTTTTTTTCTTTTTACAAAAATACTGTGGAAAATGTCACCCCATTTCTGACCTTAGGTTTCTGGTTGGGACACAGATGGAAATGTGTATACAACAGATATCAAAGGAAATAATAATAATAATAATAATAATAATAATAATAATTAGAAACACCGTGAAAATTTCACGGTTTTCCTATTTTAGTATTCTGAAGAATATTAATTCTAAAGTTAATGATTACGTAAGCTCATGGCGAGTTCTAAGGCAATAAAATATCATTAGAAATTCCCCTGTCGCATCGTTAAATATTTGAGCATAACAACTTTAATAAAATATTGCAATAACTATCATAAATATGAATGCTGATCGTTATTTTAAGAAGTAAGGGGATACAAATGAAAAGATTTGAAATTGACGACTCTTAAACACTTCGATCTTCTATTGTTTGTTTGTTTGTTTCTTTCTTTTATTCATTTTCCCACTGAAATCAAGTTACGTCTTTCATATGTTTTATTTAGCAAAATGAAATTGTCCATTATTTATGAAGTATAGTCAGTAGATGTTAAACACTTCTATCATTCTCTTCTTTCTTTCTTTTATTTTTGCACTGAAACTGTTATACTAGAACATTACCTATTCTACTGTAATAGACTCTCCCACACATAATAAGTAGTAGTAGTAGTAGCCAGTTGGGGCTCAGTGGAGTTGAGTGAGTCACTCGATGTCGGACATTGAAGTATCAACCATCACAACTAGATTGCTGCGTCATTAACTATTATTTCAAGTTCCTAACGTTTTGTACGTCGAACCCTTTTAGGACCAACTCAGTAAAATACAAGCCTCCACTGTGAAAACTACTTTACAACAGAAACCAAGTAGGATCTTTTTACCCCTCTTTCTACGCGATCAGAACAGAATAGTCCATTATTTATAAGACATTGGCAGGACGTAACGGTCGTGCGAACTAACGAAAGGAGGGACAGGCAAAATTTTAATAGGACAATAATAGCCAGAATCTGGGACATTCAGGTCGCTATTGTCCCAGTTATTAATGTGGCGTTTCTTCACATTTTTACCTTCTTGCCTTTGGAACTTTTGAATGGACATTTATGTTTCATGCTCATTGCAATCATCAAGTACTAATTTGAATTTACGCCGTTTGAATAACACAGTTGGTTTTATATTTCTTGTTCTCGCGAGATATGCTGTTGTTTGTGTAGATTATAACTGTAGATAAATATTTAATATTGCTATAATTTAAACTTGAATTTGAATTCAAGCTCAAACTTACATTTAAGATCGAAAATAATAATTATTAATAATTCTTATTCTAATTTTCTATTTTAATTTTCTTTAAAAAATGGGGGAGTAACTCTTTTTGATTAAAAATTAGTGATAAATTAGTAAAAAATAAATAAAAGTGAAAAGGTTTATATTGATAAAATGATAATAACAGTAAAATAATAATAATGCCACTGGTTGATTCCTAAAGCATTTCTTGTGTATCTGCAGACATTGCGGAGGATGCTTATCTTGCCGATATTATATAGTGATTTTCCAAGCGTAGCTCACACGTGGCACGCTAGAAGCGAAAATCGCACAGCATCACATGACGTCACACATGACAACACGAGAGTGAATTGGAGAAGTATGAAGTATGGAAAGCCGTTGGTATAAACCAATGGCTTCTGTTACCAATTATAGATATTTAAGAATATTTGTAGAGATGCCATAATTGATTTTGTTTAGGTTGGGTTTCAACTGTTTGATTTATAATGCTTCAAGGATTTTTTTTTTTGTCTATTGTTTTCATGCCGAAGTATAATTGTGTTTTCGACAAGTATTTTACGGAATATTTTAATATTAAGATTTTCGCTTCTAGCGTCTTATATGCACGTGTTTATCGTTGCTTAGAAATCATCTATGTAAACAATGAGAGACTATCATCACTGTCTTAACCGTATATTGCTTAATATGTTGTAATTGACATCTTTGATAATGGCTTATGTAAGCCGAAAGCTTAGATTGTATTAAAAAAAATATGGATCAATATTGTGAATTTCTTTGTTCGTTCAACGATAATGTTATTAAACTTATTAGACGTTACGAAAAAAAATTTACATAAAATAAATAGACGACACTTGTCTATATTATTTAATGAAACGTGTATGAATATATATTTATATATATATATGACAAAAATATAGCTTTTAGTTATGCTATATTTAATTGTAAAATTGTATTTATTGTAAAATTACTCAATATCGCGGATACAGCGTATGTAAATATAAAATTAAACACTGCGGCCAACAGTTTGTTTCATGCTTGAAGGCAATCTTCAGGCCTGAAGACTGTCGCCACTCGTGGTTGAAATCAGTGTCTACTCTTATGTATATATATATATATATATATATATAGTGAATTTTCAAGTTTGCAATCGGTCACACACACACACCAAAACTTCGAGCTTTATATATTAGATGCATCACTTTTGTTGAAAGAAAGGAGTCTTACTTATATCCAAGTGATTTACAAACAACTGTAGCTGCTTTATCATTCCAATAATCATCGCATATTGTTCCCCAAATGCTATTGTGCAAAACTTCGACGCGACCACTGTTTACTCCGTTTCCGTCAACAAGTCTCACCAATTCTTTGTACGCTGTAAATGAAAAATGTCGCAAACAGTTAACTTAACTGTAGATCAATAACACAATTACAGAATTGCTAACTATAGACCAATAACACAATTTCTTTTAACTATTAATAACACATTTACAAAATTACGAGTTCGAGTAAAATTCTTCATAAACAAACTTAAAATATTTGTTTAGAAATTGTACAATATAAAAAAAAAAGAAAAGCGAAAAGAAAGTTTTTATTTTTTTAATCTATTTCATCCTAGTAAAGCCACTAAACACAAGGGGTTACTGGATGTGAATGAATTAGAAAACAGAAACATTAAGGATTAAAAACAATAGAAGAGTTTTCAGGAATATTTGAAATTGTATTTAAATTTTTGAATATCAAAGTTGGCTGGAAAGCATGGAACTGGAAGAGAGTGAGAAGTGCGAGTAAGGGTTAAATTCATAAAGTCTAAGTACCGTAGGGAAGAGGGATATTTATTCTGTTCTCTACAGAAATGTGGCACAAGGCCGAAAAGGGGATTGGGGAAAGGACGGTCTTCTTCTGTCTTAACTATAACTTAGCTAGCCGCAAACACTGACCCAATCGTACGAACAATATTCCTTGCACCAAAACACATTCATACGTACCTTTCTTACTACAACCACCATAATACCTCTTTGTCTCTATGAAAATACTAACTAGTCCCCATATTTACAATTCATTGTCTGTGGGGGAAGGGGAATAAAACAACAATTCTAAAAAACTAGCCCTAATGAGTATTTACAATATGAATACAAAAACTATTTACAAGGAACAAAAGAAAATAAGAAAGGAAAGAGTTCATCCGAACAATTACTATGAAAGTATTTATAGAAAAGGCACAGAAAAGCTTCTTCACGGCGGTTGGAATGTGACTGAACCGAGACGCTAGGTCAGGATCAATAATATTGTGGATTCTTCTTTGGATTTTATCAAGAATCTCTGAATATATAGCAAGAGCATTGTAACATAATATTCTAAGCATGGACAAATGGAAGCCCGGAGCGACCCACGGTCAAAACGTTGTGATAACAATGCCAACAAAGATTAGGATATTAGTTCAAATGTAAATAATGAAACCTGTACGTACGATTGAAGCATTCGGCTCCGGCTTCCTGTCCTGGGTAACAGTCGTGGGTGCCCCAGGATCGATGTTTGCATTCACTAATGCTGGATTCAGATCCTTGACAACGGACATTATCCAACCAGAAACGCCCAGAACCATATTTCACATTCTGACGTCTAAAGAGCTCGACCATCACTGAAACAAATAAGCATATATATATATATATATATATATATATATATATATATATATATATATATATATATATAGTACAATTAATAAAAACAAGGATCGTTTCGTTCAGTGAGTGGTCAGTACGTTAATACCTTTTATTAATCTGTTAGCGAAGTGAGTTCGCCATTAATTACATAAACTTTATTAATTTATTCTTCGAATGAATATCTTACGATATATATATATATATATATATATATATATATATATATATATATATATATATATATATATATATATATATATATATATATGTCATAAGATGCTTATATTAAAATTATTAAATATATATATATATATATATATATATATATATATTGTATATTTTATATATGATTATATAATTTTAAAATATATTATATATATATATATATATAT